CTACCAGTGAGGAGTAAACTGGCAGAGGTGGTTGGTCTTGGAAGTATGGCAAAGGGTGTTTATACGGATCACATAGCCCATCAAGTGGAGCTATATAGGAAAAAGGAACATGACCAGAAAGAACAGGACCAAGAAACCCTCAGAAAACTGAATCAAATACAACTAGTGGATAACAAGAAGAAAGAGAAGAAGCAGGCCTTGGTTATACAGAGTCAGTCTCCGCAAAATCAACCATTACCACAACCGCAGTCGAATCAGGTTCAGCCCCAGTCGTTTCAGCCATCGTTGGTGGTTCCAGTGGCTGCCTCCCCACAGCCAACTTTGGGTCAAGTGCAGACCTGGAGAGGAAGAGGTCGAGGAAATTTAGGAAGAGGAAGAGGAGGAAGGTTTAATCCAAATTTTCAACAGTCCTTAGAAGTGTGTTATAATTGTGGACAGTTTGGCCACTTTGCTCGTGAGTGTAACAGACCAGGAGGAAATTTCAGAGGAAATTTCAGAGGAAGCTGTTTTTGAACCAGTGAAAGAGAATCTTGCCATCTGGAGGAGTAAGGATCAGCGGTTTGTTAAGATTATGATTACTGCTCAAGGACAGGGACAGCCACAAACTGTGCGGATGACACATGAGTCAATTTGCAGTGTTAAGATGGATTCAGACTCTTTGAAAGAAGAGATGTTGCGACAAGTTCCAGAATGTTTGTGGTCGCGGCATAGTACTGATATTGGACTTGTGAAGTCAGCCCAACCAGTGAAAGTTGAACTTCGACCAGGAGTCAAACCTCCTTGGAAGAACCAGTATCCACTGAAAGAAGAGGCAATCAGAGGGATTGAACCACAGATTGAAGGACTTGTGAAAGCAGATGTTTTAAAGATAACACAGAATCCTCAGAGTAACACGCCTTTGCTGCCTGTGAAGAAGCCGGATGACTCGTATCGCCTGGTACATAATTTGAGAGCAGTGAATGAAGTGGTAGCTGATTTTCCAGCAGAAGTGCCGGATCCGCATACTTTGTTAGCCCAAATTCCTCCAGATGCGACACATTTCACAGTGTTAGATTTATGTGGTGCATATTTCAGTGTTCCACTTAGCATAGAAAGTCAGGGTTTATTTGGGTTTACATACAATGGACAGTTCTATGAGTATAAGAGATTACCACAGGGATTTAAACATAGTCCTCATATTTTCAATAAAGTATTGAAGGATGATTTGGTAGGGATAGATCAGCTATTAAAAAGTACAGTAGTACAGTATGTGGATGACATTATTATTTGTTCACCAGATGAGGAAACATGTCATAAGGATTCAATTAAATTGTTACAGATATTGGCAGAAAAGGGACACAAGGTCTCTTTGAAGAAGTTGCAGTACTGTCAGGAGAAAATAGTTTATTTGGGTCAGACAGCATGGGTAGAGGATTATGCTAGTTTAACAGGGCCTTTGAGAGCTATGATTAAAGATACTGGGAATGCTCAACTTCATTGTAACCTTTCTTGGACACAGGATGGCCTTTTGGCCTTTGAGATGATCAAACAGAGGTTGCAAGAGGCTCCAGCGCTAGTGCTTTCAGACTATTCTAAGAATTTTTTGTTATATGTGGCTACTTCCACTGGGGGTAAATATGCATGTGCAGTTCTTTGTCAGCCAACAGGTATGGGGACAAATCCTCAACCTATTTCTTATTATTCTACTGCTTATTCAGAAGTAGAGCTGGGGCTACCGCTGTGCTACAGAGCACTGGTGGGAGTTTTTTTAATGTATGAGAAGGCATCGTCGGTCACAATGGGCTATCCAGTGACAATTCTTACCCATCATAGTCTTAGAAATCTCTTGAATTATGGCAAATACACATTGACTATGTCTAGACTTAGAGACTATCATAGGCTCTTGGAGCAGGAAGATGTTACCCTAGCAAGGTGTGTCACAGTGAATCCAGCTGAGAATTTGCCAACTCCAGAGGATGGTGAACCACATGATTGTGTTCAAGAAGCAGAGAAATGCTCGAAGCTTAGATCGGATTTGCAAGCCCTCCCATTGCGTGAGGCGGACTTGGAGTATTGGACTGATGGGTCCTGTTATCGTGTGGGAGATAAATTGAGTGCTGGTTATGCAGTAGTAAAAGCCCAAGGGACTGAATTTGTCGTTGAGAAGGCTGGAGTAGTACCACAGCCTGCATCTGCACAGCTTGCTGAACTTGTGGGATTAACTGAAGCATGTTTGTTAGCGGAAGGTAAGCGTGTGAATATATATTGTGACTCCGCCTACGCTCAAAATGTGTGTCATTTATTTGGAGCGGTGTGGAAGAACTGAGGGTTTAAGAAAACGGATGGTTCTCCAATACAGCATCACCATCAGATAATGAAATTGTTGCAGGCTATGATGAAGCCTAAAGAAATAGCGATAGTTAAGTGCGCAGCACATAAAATGGATGTGTCGAAGGTCACACAAGGGAATAAAGCGGCTGATGAAGCTGCCAAAGCAGTTGCAGGAGCTGATAAATTGGGCAAAGTGTTTTTGGTCACTCATGAAGTAGACGTGGAAGACAAAATCACACTTAGGGATGTGATTTTAATGCAGGAAGCTGTTCCTGCAATGGATAAACAGTTGTGGCTAGACCGAGGTGCCACTCAAGATTCTACTGGTCTTTGGAGAAATCATGAGGGGCTGATAATAGCACCTCCAGACCTGTTAGGTCTGATGATTCAGGAGGCGCATGGGCTAGCTCATGTTGCAAGGGGGGAAGTCAGACGAAAGATTACAAAGGAGTATGGGTTTTGGGCACCATGCTTGCTTGAACAGATTGATTATGTTATAGGCAGATGCACTATCTGCTTGAAAAATAATGTTCGAAGGGGAGTGATGGTTCCTCCTGGTTACATTCCAACTCCGAGGGGTCCTATGCGTGAGTTAGTTGTGGACTTTGTTGACATGATAAAACCAGTTGAAGGTAAGAGATACATGCTAGTTGTTGTGGACAGATTTTCGCGTTGGCCAGAAGCGTGCCCGACCAAGCGAAAGGACGCTCAGTCAGTTGCCAGGTTTCTGTGTAGAGAGGTCATAAGCAGGTGGGGACTTCCAGATCAGATATCCTCAGATAATGGGAAAGAGTTTGTGGATAAGACGATGAAGTTGATTTTGCAAAAATTGGGAATTAAACAGCGTCTTGGTGCAGTCTATCATCCGCAAAGTCAAGGGATTTGTGAAAAAATGAATGGGGTTCTGAAAAATCGTATTGTTAAAATCTGCCAGCACACAGGTTTAAATTGGGTAGCGGCACTTCCGCTGGCGCTAATGGTGTGTCGCTCAAGTGAGCTGCGTGATTTGCATATGACACCTCATGAGTTGGTCACAGGAAGACGAATGCCAACGCCTTGTTTGCGTACAAGTGGAAAGGGTCCAAGCGTAGCCCTTTTGGAAGATGAAATGCGAGCGTACGTTAAATATATGGCTAATTTGCATAAAAGAATATATACATACGTTTCTGACAGGCAAAGAAAAGAGGAAGCTCAGGAGAGGCTTGATGAGCAAAAGAGGAGCACAGTGCAACCTGGAGACAAGGTGTTCGTGAAGGTGTTTAGAAGGAAGTGGTATAACGAACGCCGTGAAGGACCATTTGAAGTTGTTCGCAGTACGGGAACGGCGGTCCAGGTTAAAGGGTCTCCAACGTGGTATCATTTATCGCATTGTGTTAAAGCGCCAAGGGAAGAGGCGCCACGCTTACAGGGAAGAGATGTTGAAGGCTCAAGAGAGCCAGGAGAAAATGTGGAAGAACATGCAGAAGAAGAAGAAGAAATGCATACAGATCTCCAGAGTCAAAATCCAGAAGAGGAGGGTGTCCAGGTTGTTGACAACGTTGATGATTCTATGTACTTTTCTGATGATGCCAGAAATGACTCTGCAGTTAATGGACAGGAAAGAAGATTTGGTGACATTGATTTTCAACATGTCCCAGAAACAGCAGAGCCTATTTCAGTGGAGAGCGAAGCGCCAAAGGTTTCAAAGGACTGTGATTCCGCTGCGGGAGAAATCAGAGATACAGTTAGACGACGAAGTCCAAGGCCAGTTCGGAAAAGGGTCAGACCAAAACGTTACGAGGACTAGTGTTGAAAAGACCTTAGGGAATTCTACTTTTTTAGCATTGAAGGTTACTGAAGGTATAAATATGTCACAGTTAATAACGTTGGCGCCTCAAATGATTGCAACGACATCAACCCCTTTGAAGACAGTAGTCAGAACTAAGTTAGGAAGAGCGGTTTCTCTCCCCTGTAGATGTGGAAGATTTAATGTGGGTGGTAATAATCCTCCTATGTGGAAAATAGTCGTGGTGAAGATGTGCTGTTAACAGGACCTGAAGTTGCTATGGTGCCTCGTGATCAGAGGAAGTATCTGTTGTTTAATGACTGGAGGTGGTTAAAAGTTAGAGATGATTGTTCACTTTTAGTGCGTAATGTAACTTGGGAAGATCAAGGGGAATACACATGTACTTATTTTGAGCCAGAGTTGAAATTTGTTCCATTTCAAAATGTGTGGAGAGAGGGGTATATAACGCATAAGGTAGTGGTTGTAATAGAAGATTTGAGTTCTTCGGGAATTTTCAGGGTGGCTACAAGAGTCACCACAGCAACCACTCCAAGAGTGAATATTACGTTGAGGAAGCTTACTACTTTAGCTCCGGAAACAACTAAGAATGTTAATACATCAATTCAGGCTGTTACTTTAGCTACGATTTTGAAGGAGATGAATGCTACTACAGAGAAGATGCCAATTTCTTCTTTTGTTACTGGGGGAAATATTACAAGTGAGGTTGGGCTAAGGGCAACCTATGCTAATAAATCAGTGACAACATCTCTGTCGCCTAGGAAAGTTGTAAATATAACACAGACACCTGGTATGACATTGTTGAACTTTGAAGAAGTAGTCAATATAACCCAGAAACCTATGCCAAAAATAGAGCTTAGTGTGAATAGTAGTAAGGAGATTTTGGAACCTAGAAAACAGAAGGTGGAAGAGCATGATGCAGATTCATCTGTGACAGCTCAGAGGACTATTTTAGACGAGGAAGAGGGGTTTTTTGACTTTGACTGGACACCAGAGGACATGACTAACCAGTATCGTGTATTACAGAAGAGAGAAACTAAGTGGAAGGCATATGGATTTGATTCTTCGGTGTTACAAATCGCAGACCCATGGGCAGGTAGGAACTTATGGTTCCAGCAGTTAACTCATTCTGTAAGATCGGTTAGGAAGCTGAATTGTCCATGTGTGGTGAAAGTTCCAACACCAGGCACATGGCCTTCAATTTTAGAGACGGTACCAGAACCATTAAGTGCTAAATGTCAATCATATGCATTATCGTGGCTGTTATATCAGCAGCAAGCAGCAGAAGATAAGGTGATGGCTCTGTCAGTGCATCTGTTTAGACCTAAACATAATTGTTCTTGGTTGGGAGAGTTACCATATGTGAATTTACTTGATCAGCATGAAAATATGATAACAGCGGTCCCTGATCCGTTAGAAGTGAAATTTGTGGGGGCTAAAGACTGTTTTTGTTCAGATGGTACTCATAAGGGGCCTGGAAAGTTTATGGGAATATCAGACTGTAACAACTATATTATGGACTTGGGTGAGCGTAAATATGAGGCTATGAATGACTTGTATAAAGTGACTTTTCAGGTACCACATCGCAAACTGAGTAGAATTTTGATGGTGCGGAACCAAAAGTTGCCGGGAAATGTAACTATAGGGAATTTTAAGGATATTTGGTGGGTTTGTGGTGATAAGGCATATATATTTCTACCGTATGGGTGGATAGGATGCTGTTATATGGCAATGTTGAAGCTGCCATATGAGGTTTTTACTGTCCAGAAGAGAAAAGTTTCTGATGAGGTTCAATCTGAGGCTATTTCTGGAAGTAGGAAGAAAAGGGAACTAGCACAGTTTCATAATCTGGAGTCCTATCATTGGAGGATAAGCCTAGGAGAGAAGTGGGGTATAGGATTATTTCCATGGTATGGGGTGACATTTTTGGCAGATCACATTGATAATATTACCTACACCCTACAGGGTTTTGCAAATGAGACTATAAGAGGTTTTGAATACTTGTCAAATACTCAAAAGAGTCACAGACTGACATTGCTGAAACATGACATGGCTCTTGATTATCTTTTGGCCAAACAAGGGGGCCTATGTGTGGCTCTGAACTTAACTGGTGATGCTTGTTATACTTTGATTCCTGATAGTTCTGACAATATGACTAGTGTCATAGATGCATTGAAGCATATAAGGGATGCGTTTGGCCCATCGGAAGGAGCTGGATGGTCGGCGAATGCTTGGTTGCAGGAAAAATTAGGACCATTGGGAGCAGTGTTGGTTCAGATTATGGTAGCAGTTCTTATATCATTGAGTGTGATGTTCTGTTGCTGTACATTGGTGTTAACTTTTGCGAAGGCAATGATATTGAGATGGGTTGGAGTTCTGATGCCTGGAGATCAGATTCAGATGCCATTATTACATAGGACTGACACAGACGATGACGAAGAAGTGGTGATAGAAGGTGAACTGATGGAGAAATATCCATTTTGAATATCTATTCTTATTGTAATCTTAACATTTATTTCTTTTACTATTTAGGGTATTCAGTAGTCTCTTACTATAGAGTGGGATGATAGCAGGGGGAAATGAAAAAGGGGCTTTATAACTGAGAATAATGTGAAAGTATGATACTATGAATTTCACATTTACTTATAAGGTGTTAACCCGTATGTGATGTTTCAATTTGCATCTGTTGTTTTTGCAAAAGATACTGGTTGGTGGTTTTCTTTCTTTTCTTCAAGAACAATGCTGGGGGAAGACCACTGTAAGAGTGGCTGGATCTTTGGGGACCCTGATGTTTATGGACAATAAGATTGGACTGAAGGAGTTTGAATAAGGACACTGTGATACGATGCCCAGAGTCAACACATCATCGACACTACACTGAGAGTCGACACTGCTGAGGAGTTGCAGTGTGATACATTTTTATGTCTTCATATGTATTTGCATAGTATTGGACTTTGTCATATGGTAAGGGGTGATATTGATAGAGGAAATTTATAAGAAAGTGATAATCTTAGTAAGATATACTAGTTGGATTGAGTTGTTTATTGCATGAGTAGTACTTAAATTTATAATATGATCTTTGTTTAATTGTTTGAAGACGGATGTTTTCTGTTATGGGGTAAGTACATTGGGACCTCAGATGTTTTTTTCTTTTTTCGGATGCTTAGGGATAAGGGTGTTAGGCAGGGAAAGGTCCATTGGAAGGTCCGATGGGTCGACCAGCCTGAATGTGGACATTGTTTTGATTTTATTTTCTGAGGTTTCCATATGTATTTGCTTAAGTCATATCCATATACAATTTGTCAGAATACCTCCTTTAAAGTGGTCTGGAGTACTTTATGTGGTCGCCTAAGGCAGAGGGACCGTGAGAGAATTTTTCCTGTCTAGATTGTTTGAGGGATATTTCAGGAATGATAGCTGCCGGACAGGTTTTTTTGCTCTCACACTCCAGAAAGCTGTTGCATTGCTAAGGTTATGCTATAGGAAGAATTGTTATTTAGTTACAACTACAAATATGTATAAGCTACTTTTTTGTTTTTCGAGACTTTAAGGAAGTCTCGAAGGGGGGAAAATGAAGTATATTTTAAAAAGGAACCTTTGATAGAAGAAGGTAAAAACACTCTTTCAATAAGTTGAGGTGGTAGTATCTAGGAGTGCCCTATGTGCTCTGTTTGTGCAGGGGCTAGGAATGTGAGTTGGGGGCCCTTGGTCCATTGGGAGAGGGCCTCTCACTTTCTCCCTTCTTCTCTTAGGTCCAAATAGATGAGATCATTTTAAAAAAAGAACCATATGCTCTGTCTCCTGTTTCAACAACAAGAACCATATATATATGCTGTTGGTCAGTCTGTTCGGGAGGGGACATTTAGAATTGGCACATATCCTCTCTCAGGTACTCTATAGTGCTTGATATGATACTGTTTTAATATGTAATAAACTTTTTACTGGCAACTCAGTATCGGCGGAGTTTTTCTTCACAACATCTAAACACCATCGCCACTAAATAAACAACATTGTAAAAAGTGTTCAATTTGTATTTTCTTACCTACAGATTTGTAGCTATCATCAGGCCTAAGACGTTTCCCACGTAAAATTGACCCGTTATTTGTACTCAAACATATTCTTGGACGTTTTCCGCGGGAAACAGAGTTATCGTCGGCAGTTTGACTCCTTCCACTCTGTGGCGGGACCACTTGTTAAACAGGGCTTAAACGTCAACAAAGCGTGGGGTTCACAAACCGCGGAGGTACTGGGTACTGTGTCGATTCCTGGCGGTGTTAAGAGACCCGTTGTTTCAACCAAACGGGTCAGAGCTACTACAGAAAAAAAAAATATGAGTTAGCATTACTCACCAACAACTAACACAGAAAAAAATATATACTATAAACCGTCAACTCACCCAATGGATTCTCATAATCCACTGTATTTGCAGATTCTGTAATAACAGAAATGTAAGAATTATTTTGACAAACATCAGCAACTACAAATACATGAAATAATAATAAAAAGCTGTGACATACCTTCACAAAGTTGAGACAATCCTTCAATACTTCTAATAGCAAGGATTGTTTCAAGCTCAGATGCACCTTGACCAAGAAAAACCTGTTAAACAAAATAAAATTGTGACGCTGTTTGAAATACTTACAACAGAAAATTAGGTAAAAGTCTGCAGCCTGCTGCATGCTCACCGAGAATGTTGGTGTCCATGGCTTTCGATCAGTTTTCTTAACAGCAAAGACTGTAGTTGAAAGAACGTGACACCACAATTTCGCGGCTCTATGTACCATTTCTCATTGCCACACCTCTTCTTGTCCATCTGTGTATCGATCTGAGTTTTGATTGGTTAGACATCACACATCTACACCCATGCACACACCCCCTCAACCCCCCTCCCACACACAGGCATACAAGAATGACTCTCCCAATCTTTACCCAGTGTGGACGTTGTCGTGTGACCAAAAGTCACTCGTTCGTGTTTCCAGCCAATTTCATCGGGTGTGAGAATGAATAGTGTGACAGTCTCTTTTTCATTGTTAAAACCAAAACTGACAACACGATCTTTGGACAAATACCAACCTGGTCACACTCCGGAATCTTATTTCTGTGAATTATTGTACACACAGCCAGAGCAATCATTAACAAAAAGAAAAAATAAGAAAAAACTAGCAAAGCAAATAGTTTCAATACAACTAAATAAATATTTCAAAATAAATTGTGTTTAAGATCTAGACTTTCTGACACCTTTAACACACTTTGGAGACACACTGATAACAAACGATTTAACCCACACACCTCTCTAAAACCCCTTTTGTTTTTATTTGTCTAGACATTCTGGTGCTTTTAACACACTGGAGACATACAAAACACACATATCTAAGAATCCACAATCAAACACAACAGTGAAAACCCCCAATGTTTTACCTACATGAAAGGGCTCAATATTCGCACCTCACACCACCCCTCACCCCATACCCTGACCCCCCCCCGACTCCATTGTTGTGGTAGAGGGGTGGGGGTGTGGGGGGTGTCATGAAACACCCACCCCAGGCAGACCTGTCCCTCAAACTCGTCTGTCACAGAGAGGGGGGTCATAAATGGGCCTGTCACAGAGGGGTCATAAAATAACCTGGCTATCAAAATCGACATGCCTGTCACACAGGGGTCATAAATCAGGGTCATAAATCATACATTTGAAAGACAGTGTAGGATACATACTACTACTGGACACAGGTTTTCTGAGGTGAAATACCACGTGAGGATAGTGAAACTGTACACAAGTTCTCTGAAATAATAAAATATTACAGGTGAGTATAGTGGAACTGGGCGCTGACTCTCTGAGAATAAAATACCGTAGGTAAGTATAGTGGAACTGGACGCTGGCTCTCTGAGAATAAAATACAGCAGGTGAGTATAGTGGAACTGGGCGCTGTCTCTCTGAGAATAAAATACTTCAGGTGAGGACAGTGGAACTAGACACAGGCTCTGTCAGTTAACCCTTTAATGTCCTCACCAAGAAAAAAAGCAAAGGAAACATTTTTTTTTGTATTTTTTATTTGTTTGGGGCAATAATAAAAACAATTTTTTTTTTTTTTTCAGACCCCACAGTTTTTAAAATATACACCTCTACCTAACGGGTGAGATGGCACTCGGTGGCAAAATCAGAACGTGAACCAGAAATACAAAAAACAAAAATTAAAGTGCAATAACATGCTAACTTTGTTAGCTTTGTTAACTTTTGTGACTTTATAGACAGATTTACACATCAAGAAAACACTATGAAGTGGTATGTGTCCACGGTTGTCATAAAGCACATCTGGTTGTGGTCGTGAGGGTCGTGGGATGTAGTGTTTCTTCTGAGACATCAGTGGTGGAGAGGAGGATGCTGGTTGGCCAACCTTGGATGCTGTCTTGTTGACTTGCTTCAAAGTGTGGGCAACTGCCAGGCGGATCCTTTTGAGAGGCATTGGTTTCTCATTCAGTAGGTCACAGTCTCTCTTGTAGACCAGCCAGGAGTTGGAGATGCACAGGTCAAGGATGTATCCAAACAGTGGAAAGTACCATCGCCTTGATTTGGCAGGGGTCTTGTACATGTGCACCAGCATGTCAGAAAGATCAATGCGTCCCATATGCTCATTGTAGGCATGAATAAGTGATGGGCAAAGGACAGCAATCTTTGTCTTGTCAACTTTGCTCCACCGTTTGACAGTGGAAAGAGGTGTGATCCCACAAGCATTGCTCAGAAGGTTGACACATTTGTTGTCAAACCAATTCACTGCGATCACCCCATCAGAAGACCTGTAATCGAAAGCTCCACGTCCTTTCTTCCTCAGCTGTTGGTCTGTAATCAAGGGTATTCCACTGACGCGGCTTGATCGGACAGTGCCGATGCATTTTACACCCAAGTTTGCGTGCAGGTTCTGGATCAACTTGAAGCTGGTGAAGTAGTTGTCACAGAAGACAACTGACAGCTGTGGTTGCGTCATGGTTTTGCACAACACTGTCACCAGTTTGGCCCCTAGAGTCAGCTCTTGCTCCTGCTCACTTAGGGCAATATTGAAAAATGTGGATGCCCCTTGATAAAGCAGTAGGTCATGGATGATTCCAGATGAACTGGCCCGGCAGAACAATTTAAAGCCCCACTTGTCTGGTTTGTTGGCAATACACTGGCGAAGAGTGCCAGCCCTTGTGCCTTTATATGCCACCATGACCTCATCAATACTTTGCTTGTAAGTAGATGGGATGAGGAGGCACTTGCTCACGAAGCATCTCAAAAAGGGGACAGATTTTGAAAAATCGGTCTGGACTGTCATTCCACTGTTGATTATCTTTGAAATGAATGAACCGACGTAACAGCCTGAATCTTTTCCTCGGCATGATATCAGCTATCACGCTGAATCGTGACTCATGGTGCCAGTAGTCTTTAATAGATGGGAAGCTGAAAACACCCATGAAGAGTAGTATTGCCAAGAAATCTTCAGTCTCTTGTGGACTAGTCTTGATTGGATC